GGAGATTTACAGTTTATATGTATGGGAGTGTATATATTTATGTATATATATATATATATATATATATATATATATATATATATATATATATACTAAAATACCTCTATATATAATATGTATAATTATCTATAAATAAGATATATAGATGTATATATTTATATTTATTTTTACGAATTTAATTATTGTATTGTTTTAATTTTTAACATTTTATTTAAATATAATTTATACTATTTCAAACAAAAAAAAGATAAAAAAAAAATAAAAAACTTTTAAACCTAACCTTTATATTACCTACACAAATATAAGATTGTTAAACTTATGAAAAATTTAAAAAGAAATATTTTCAGTAAAAAAAAATATTATAAAATTGCATTAACATATATTTATAATATTACTATTTTCGTCTAATAAATTTGGCATTTATATTATATTCATAAATAGCATTAATACTTTTGTAATTTTTTTTTTTTTAATCCTTTTTTTTTTTTATAACACGTACATACCTATGTAAACACATATTTGTGAGCATTTATAGTGTTGTTATTTTATTTATTTTATTTTTTTTTTCATTTCATATTAATAAATAAATATAAATGCATAAATGAATAAACATATATATATATATATATGTATTTCTTTAAATTTTCTAATCATTTAAAGCATATAAAAAATAGAAAAATTCATACGTATTAAAATACAAAATAATTTTAAATAATTTAATGAATTAGACTCTTATGTAGTTTTTTTTTCTTTTTTCTTTTCTCTTTTTTCTTCAAATAACTTAAAAAATTAAAATAAAATTTAAGAACTATAATTAAAATGATTAGAATATAGGAATATAATAATAAAAGTAATAAAAATATTAATAATAAATGATTTATAATGGAATTTTTTTTTTTAAAAAAAAAAAAAAAAAGTTTAATGAATGTTTTATCTTTTTTTCTAGGATGCAAATATAAAAATTCAATACATTTTAATTTATTGCAATAAATAAATGTAAAAGAAATTACTTAAAAAAATAGCAAACATAAAAAAAAAAAAAAAAAAAAAAAAAAAAAAAAAAAATAATAATAAATAAAACAAAATATCAATGAAGTAATAGATTATTTTTTTGTCTGTTGAAAATGTTTTGTTAATATCATCATTTTGTCAGTTGCATCATAAAGACCTGATAAAAAATGATCTTTTTCCCATCTACTCCATTTTCTACTTATTTTATTGAGACAATACTAAATAGAAAGAAATATTTTTGCATATATATATTTATGTGTTTAAATATACATATTTATAATTAAACATTTATAATTACATAATTTAGTGTATATATATATATATTTATAAAATTATAATAATACAATTATAATATATATTAACATCATTTTCATATTCATAGATATGAATGTTTTAAAAATATTATATAATTTTTTTTTTATTTTAATTTTTATTTCTCTTGATTATTGTATAGTATTTATATTTTTAAGTAAATTATTTTATTAAGTATTTTCTCACTTCAAAATTAGAAACATCAGAAACGTAAGTTGATGATTTTAGTTTTTTGAATATATTCAAATATTTGCAAATGCTATTCAATAAATGTTCTTTTGTTAAATGAAAATTTTTATAAAATACATACGATTGAGCCAAAAATTCTACAAAAAAAATAAAAAAATAATAGATAATTATTTTAATATATAAACTTTTATGTTTGTCTATTTTTATACATGTTCTATAAAGAAGATGCATAAATAACGCTATAATTAAAATGTAAAATTGAATATTTAATAATTATACATATTTTTAAAATATATTATATGTATTTTATTTTTATATTAAAATTTATTCCTTCAACAATTGTAATTTTAAATAATTTAATTAAAGCCATTTAATTTTTTTTTTTTTTTTTTTTTTTTTTTATTGAAATATTATTTTTCTATTTTATTATGATTACTTAATTTATTTTTTTCACATAATTCTTCAAGATAAGAAATATATTCTCTACCATATTGGCTAACTGTTATATCATCAGGATTCTAAAAAAAAAACAGTTAATAAAATGTTTATAACAAATTATATATATATATATATATTTTAATAATTTTATTCTTAAAAAAAAAATAATACATCAACTATAGATGATAAATAAATGATATCATTATAAAGATAATTAGTTAATTGCATAGGCCCAATATAAATAAGAGGTGAGAAATCCTTTTTATAAATTATAAATGCTTCATCAATTTTTAAAAAAATGTTATATAAATCAATAAGAAATTGCAAAAATGTCTATAAAAGTAAATTAATATATAATAATAATGAATCAAACATAAAGATAATTGATAATATTTATTTTTTGTTTAAAAATATTTAAATTTTAAATATTATACTTGTCTAGTAAAAAGAATATTATAATCATTAATATTCCTAAATATTTCTCTGTATTTTTCTTTTTCTTTTAATTTTTCATTTTCTATTTTAGCTAAAGTTGGCAATACTTCGTTTCTCACAAAGAGACTTTAAAAAAAAAAAAAAAAAAAAAACAAAAAAGAATATATGTATAATATATATATACTTTATAATAATAATTTATAAAAAAAAAATATATATATATATTTGATTAAATATTTACAAATTTTCATGATAATTATATTTATCTCTTGAATTATAGTTGATATTATTTTTGTTTGATCCACTTCTTTTTCTATATTCAGTTATTCGCTGTAGCTGTATTTCCTTAAAATTAATAAATTTTTTAGCATTAAGTTGGTATTTTTGTTTACATTTTAAAACATTTATAAATGTTAAATTATTTTTTGTGTTCTTTTTATATATATTATATAGCTTTTTGTTAAACACATTAGAAAAAAATATAATAATAAGGAAACTAAGTAAAATTATTTTAATCATATTTTAAATTTCTAACATTTTAATTTATTATATTTCTATTCTTATATTTTTCAATCATTTTTTTAAACATTTTAAAAAATATATGAATTTTTTTTACTATCTTGTATTAATTTTTTTATAATACATTGTTTCATAAGAGGATATATACATTTAAATATTTTGTTATTATCCTTATTTTTATTTTTTTTTTTTTTTTTTTCCTTCTTCAAATAAATAAATTTTAATTCTGTAATATAATTATTGAAAACAAAATTTTTTTTTTTTTTCATTAACAAAATATCATTTAATATTATATTACTATATATATATATATAAATTTTTTTTTTTTTTTTTTTTTTTTATTAACAAAATGAAAAAAATGTAATTTATGTGATATTGTTTATTATTTCTTAATTTTAATTTTGTTTTCTTTAAATAAGAATATACATTTGTAAAATATAATTGTGAACAGAATTTATTACAAAAGAAAAATTCGTTTCGAAAACAAATTAAAGAATAAAACTTTTTTAGATGTATAAAAAATTTATGAAGTTGTATATGAATATAGCTTTAATGTTATATCGAATTATAGTAGTATTGTTATGAATGATTGATAAAAACAAAAATATGCGTTTCGTAAACTTTTTAGAATAAGTTTAAAACATAATTGTATATTATTAGGTAAAATAAGGTTTTCATATATTAATTAAAATATTTACTTTTTCTTTTTTTTTTTTTTTTAATATTTACTTTAATTTTAATAAAAAAAAAAAAAAAAAAAAAAAAATAATAATAAAGAAGAATTAAAATAATATACGAAAAACAAAACTAAATTTTCAGGATGGATGATGAAACTGTTAATTTAAAAAATGACGATTTAGATGATAAAAATAAAGAGTTAACAAATAATTCTGATAATACTTATAAACCTAATCGCATTTATAAAGAATGTAATAAAAAAAATGAAAATTTATTATCTATAAATTGTAAAAAAGATGCATTTTTAAAGAATAATGATATGAATATCCAATTAGATATGTTTAATTCTAACAAAACAAATATAATCTTAAATTATAGCAATAATATAATGACTACAGTTTCAAATAAAAGTAAAACTATAGACATATATAGTGATGCAAATGATAAGGAAAATACGAATAATGATGAGAAAATAAAAAATAATGTAAATACAAAGGTTAATGATATAAAAAATGATGTTATAAAAAATGTAAAAGAGGATGAAGATATAAAGATTGACAGAAATATGAAGAATGATATCAGTAAAGATAAAGTAAAAAAAAATAAAAGAGTAACAAATATAAATTACATAGTTCAATATAATAGATATAAACCAACAAAGACAGATGTATTTAAAAAAAGAACAATCAATCCATTTGTAAAAAAAAATAAAAATCAATATATAAATTGCAATTTTCGTTATTACGTATCAGAAAAAGATTATTTGATACAAAATTTGATTGGAGAAAATATTAAATGGGAAAAAATTGAAAAAGTAGATTATATAATTTTTGATAATACTTCTTTATCATGCCCAATTTGTCTTGAAAATAATATCATCTCACCAAGAATTACAAAGTGTAGACATATATTTTGTTTTTTTTGTATTTTGAAATATTTCATTGAAGAAGATAAAAAAGTATGGAAAAGATGTCCTATATGTTTTGAAATAATCAATGAAAATGATTTAAGAATGGTGAAATTCCATTATGTAAAAAATTATAATATTAATGATTGTATAAGCCTCTGTTTATTATACACAGAAAATAATAAAATAAATTTAAAATCAGATAAATTGTGTTTTAATAATAATTTTCAAATAACCAATAAAAATTTCATTAAAAATAATAAAGTAATAGATTATAAATATTTTGTAAACATTGATTATATGAATAAAAATTTAACTAATGTTAGTCAAAATCATTCTGATCAAATTATCAAATTAAATTTAAATTTAGGTGTTCAATTTTCTAAGCTTTTCTACATATATAATCCATTGTCCTTATGGATAAAAGATCTAACTATTTTTAATTTTATTTTAACAAATAAAAAAGTGAAATCTTTTGTCTCAGATGAAAACGTTATAGAAAAAGCAATTTTAAATATTAAATTAAAAATGAGTGATTATTTAAATATACCTGTAGAAAAATTAAACCCTGAATTAAACATGGATGAAAAGTGTTTTGATTTCTTTTATTTATATGATAATTTAGCACATGACGTTTATGTAATTTAATATTTATATATTTATTCATTTTAAAAAAATTATTATAAAATATGAGAATTAAAAGGAATTATATATCCTATTTATTGTCTTTTCATAAAATGTTTAAAATAAATAAAAATGCATATATTAATAATATTCTTATACATTATTCTTTTTTTTTTTTTTTTTTTTTTTTTTTTCCTCATTAGGATAGTATTGAACAAATAAAAAAGGAAATGAAATCAGATATTGAAGTATTGGAATGCAAAAAAATATCAAAAGATAAAAAATTACAAATGAATTCAGAACAAAATAATACTGACTCAATTAATTTAAAAGATTTAAATCGTTAATATAAAAAAAAAAAAAAAAAAAAAAAAAA